CTGAGTCTGGGCTGCATTCTTGATGATGCCGTATGTTTGATCTCATAGAAATAAGATAAGCACAAATGTTATGGTTGACTTTGCAAAGCCCAACCATCGTAATATACATATATACATATATATATTATAGATATATATTTATATAATCTGTATAGATATACATATAATTTACACAGTATTCATGCAGAGAAAGTGAAGCATGATGGAGAGAGATACCTCTGAGAATCTGTACATAATGTTGCCATCCATCCAAGGTGGAGGGTGTGGGAGGAAAGATTACAGGATTCAGCATTAGTGACATTACAATGCATTATGCAGGATATGTGGAGCTGTAACCCATTCAGAGGCCAGGACTTCAACAGAAGAAACCTCATGTAGGGCTGAATTGAAGAGAATCTGAAATATTTTGGAGACACACACACAAAAATCTACATGCAATATATGTGTATGTACTTCTGCCAAGTTGTATTCCTAGTTTGAGCATTGCATTAAGAAGCAAAATATACTAACTAATAAAAATGTTTTTGTATGTGGTACCTCTGCTTATTTGTCCACTGTATTGTGAGATGTGAAATTAGTATACTCTGCAAATTAAAAGAGAGCAAGAGCGAGCACAGGTTGTCTTTGCACCAACTCAATGGTCCCTGGAGAAAGTATTTCTGCTGCAAGAGATCCATAGGCTCAACTCAAATGATAACAAATTTTATCTGGAGAAGAGAGCTCACAAGCCATTACTATAATTCAGCACTGGACTCAGTTCTCCATGTGTGCAAACAATTTTAGAGATAAGTCACTGCAGAAGAGGCTAAGTTTCCTTCAGTGAGCACTACAGGGAGGCCACAGAATCACAGAGCTGGAAAGTGGTGCAGCAAAAAGCTATCTAGTCTAACTTATTCGTTAAGAGACTTGGTTATAAATCAGTTCCCCAGCCTTCCACAGTAACCTACAAAAACCAGACCACAGTGAGCCACACCACATAAGGAACTGAACACAACCTCACTCTCCGCATTAGTGATTCCCACCAGCACCTGGTAATTAGAGGCATACTGCCCTGGACAATGGAAGTATAACATAATCACCACAGCCAATAGACATTTATACCCTCTATGGATTTGTCTAAACCTCTTTCCACTTCATCCACATTGGTGGCTATAACTACATCTCTGACTGTATCCCCCCCCCCCCCGGTATTTTTACATTAGCCCTTTTCAAGCAATGACTTAACTGTTGTATGTCATACTCAAGGATAGGGATGGATAAAGGTAGAGGTAAAGGGACCCCTGACCATCAGGTCCAGTCATGACCGACTCTGGGATTGCGGCACTCATCTCGCTTTATTGACCGAGGGAGCCGGTGTACAGCTTCCAGGTCATGTGGCCTGCATGACTAAGCCACTTCTGGAGAACCAGAGCAGCACACGGAAACGCTGTTTACCTTCCCGCCAGAGCAGTACCTATTTATCTACTTGCACTTTGACGTGCTTTCAAACTGCTAGGTTGGCAGGAGCAGGGACTGAGCAATAGGAGCTCATCCCGTCACGGGGATTCGAACCACCCACCTTCTGATTGGCAAGTCCTAGGCTCTGTGGTTTAACCCACAGCATCACCCATGTCCCTATAGGGATGGATACTTGTGTTCAATTCCCATATGCCCCAGCCATCATGGCCATTGATCACAGAGGATGGGAGCTGTAGTCCAACAAGATCTGGAGAGCCACCTGTTCTCAGCTGTCTCCCTGCTCTGGGTCTGTGGCTTGTCTTCTAGCATGCTTGAAGTCATGTCCTTAATATGGGAAACACCTCCTCAGAAAGGATGCACAGGTTACTGGACCTTCTCCAACTAGAGGATGGTCTCCTGCCTGTATACTAGACTAAAACTTCAGGGTAAGCCCAACTTTCCATTGTTGGAAAGTTGAGTGTAACTATCTTCTGTTCATGACATGCAAGAACTATTCTGGCAAAATGGAAGGAAACACTGATTGTGTACAGAACCATCCATTCTGAGTCTACTTTACTGTACAATATAAAGCGAAGGAATCCCACTAGTCTACAACAGGGATGTTCTTTGCTTCTTTTCTCCCTGTCAACCTCGCCTGCTTTCACCTCTCAAAGGATTCTACAGGTTAACACACACTTATTCTAAAGGTTTATGCAGCCTAAGACAATTGTGAATTAGTGGAGACGCAGAAGGAGAATGGTCAAACATGCATTCTCACTTTTGTGCAGGACCAGTGCACACATAAGTTGTATATGCGTGATCTGTGCATGTGATCAGCAGCTAATGGGGAGAGGGAGGGAGAAAAGCCATTTCTCTCTGGTAAAAAAAATATTTGATCCATTTTATTTATTTTGTTGCTCAGTCCTTTCAACAGATTCTTTGCTGTTCACTCTTTTAAAAATGGATGCAAAAGGTCACAGAACAAATTGGAGGGAAGCAGAACCTTTGTCCAAGGGTAACATTAGCAACTGAGCATGGAAGCTTGATTCAAAAGGTTTAAAAGCTACATTTATTTTGATTGGATTAAGTAATCCACTCTACAAAATCCCTTCCTTTGAAATCCCTACTGATGTTTCGGGCAAAGCAAATCCAACAAACTTGTTCACTTTGGGTGAAATTTAGCTCAGTTGGAGATATACAAACTCGGCCCCCTGAGAAATTGCTCTGATCTGAATGGGATTATTTTTGCTTCATTCAAAATCATCATGGCTGTGTGTGTGTGTGTGTGTGTGTGTGTTTAATAACACCCAACAAAGTCATCTTGAATTTTCAGTCAAGCGAACTTTGGTAGCAATTCTATTTTCGATGTATGCACCCTTCTCTTTAACAATTTAAAACATTTCCGTATATATCCCTAACACATATATGGACTAGACTAAAGACCACCATTTCAAAGGCTTGTTGGAAAAAGAAGTTTTTTGATAGGAGCCAGAAAGACAACTGAGACAGTGCCTGTCTGGTGCATAAGCGGAGGAGAGAAAGGGATTTGCAGTACTGGGGCTGGAGGCTTGACACAGCCCTAGCAGAAAGCATTCCCTGAAAGCAAAAAGTCTGAAAACCACAGAAGTCATTGAAGAGAAGAGAGCACCTCCTCGTGAAGTACTGATTTGAAAAAAAGAGAAACAAGCAGAGAATTCTCAATGGATTTTTCTTTGAGAAGGGAAACTCACCATTGACCCTCCCTGACCATCCTTTTTGTACAGGTGAAGCTTACACTGAAATGTGGCCAGTTGCTCATCACTCATGGCCCATCTAACCTGAGTTAGGCATGGCATTAGCAGTGCTAATGCAGCCTGACAGCCCATTCACATTAGCTCCCCTCCATCAGTCTGCATTAGCATTCGCGTTAGCTAATATGCTATGAAAGTCACTTTCCAATAATATTACTGCTCATGAATACTAACCTGAAATGATATGAGCCATACAAAGGAGGGGGACTGCTAATCTGATTGGGTTGGCTAATATGACAGAGCCCTGAAGGGGGAATAAGTGGCAGCCTCTGGTTCCAATGCATGGAGCCTCCTGACCCTGCTTTGCATCATTCACACAAGTGACAAAGAATAATGGATATGCAAAGATGCATTGCACCCCAGAGTTTTCAGGGCAGCAAGGCTTGGGGGCAAACCAATCAGCTTTTCATTGTTCTAAGGCAGAGAGGGGGAGCCTGTGGCCCTCTCAGTGCTGTTGGACTCCAACTCCCATCAGCCCCAGCCAACATGTTCAGTGGCAAGGGATGATGGGAGTTGTAGTCCAACAAACATCAGGAGGCTTAGGATGGCCCACATGACTCATCTCAGTTCCTTTTAATCTTCACAACAAGCTTGTGAGGTAGGTTAGGATGTGAATTAATGTCACGTGGTGAACTTCTTAGCAGAGTACGGATTTGAACCTAGGTCCCTACTAAACACGACATTCCACACCATGTGTACCCTTCCCCTTGTTTACATTTTACCATACATTTTACCACACGTTGGCACCTGATGTGTGGTAAAATGGATGGCGAAATGATAAAATGATCAATAGACCTTTTTTCTGGGTATTTTTGCCAGCTCAGCTGAACTCAAATTAAACCTTGGCAAGAAGACTCAGCGATGGGGAAGAGCTCCCTCTGCCTGTTGCACAGAGAAGTGCCTCTGACCATCATTCGTATTCAAGGAGGCAAGTCCAGCTCAGTCACTCCCTTCCCCTATGAAGCAGGAACTTTCAAGACTTGTTTGCCACCCATTAGGGAAGGAGATGAAATCCGACCCTTTAAAGGCAATCCTCCCTAATTCACACTCTCCAAAACAATATGTGAACAGAAACATAGCCATCTTTGAAATTTGCACTTCTTCAAATTTTGCAATGCAGTTTTCCAGCCAAAAAGGCAGACACTGGTCTAAATGTGTGCAAAATAAAAATAAAATAAAATGCATTCATTAGTGAAAAAAACTAATGTGTTGTATTTGGGGAAATTGTTTTGCAAAGATGAATGTGTTAGGCAAAATGTGTTTATTTATTTAAGAAAAATTGTGATAAAACTTCTAAGTGGTTTACAAAATTGCCCACAAAAATGCGTCTATAGAGAGGCATTTGCACTAAAATGCAAGAGGACTTTAAAAAAAAATGAACTACTAAATGTTGTGAACATGTGGAGAACTGAACTTAAAGACTGGGAGGGAAATCAGCAACTGAAATGGACAGACCAGCCCATCCATGCTGCCTGCCACTTGCTCTGCTACAGGAAACAAAAAGCATTCTAGCCAGATGGTTGACTATATCTTTGTATGTTTCTCCAACAATTGCAGTTGCAACTGCTCCTTTGCCTGGAGGACACCAACGAGGACGTGCCTAAAAACAATACAATCTATTACTGGTTTATGTAGACTGTCACTCATCAAGTTAACCAATCAGAAAGCACACATACGTAAGTGGAGGATGTAGCCATTCTGAAATTTCATAGAATCATAGGGTTGGGTGACCCCAGAGAATCTTCTAGTCCAACCCTCTGCAATGCAGGACTATGTAGCTGTCCTATACAGGGATTGAACCTGTGACCTTAGCATTATCAGCACCATGCTCTACCCAACTGAGCTACTTCAGGAGCAAATAAGAGGCTTTGCCAAAAAATGACCCCATAGAAAGCTTGCGTCCCTGACACACCCTAAAACCAGCTTCTCCAGGTTGGTGCCTTCCAGATATCGTTAAACTACCTTGACCATTGGCCATGCTGACCGGGGCTGAGGGGAGTTGGAGTTCCTAGAAAGCAAGCTTGAGGCAATGAAGTGCCATGGTTGGAAAAGAAATTAATTAGGAAAAAGGAAGAGCCTGTGAAATCATTCCGCAGTTAATAGAAATAGATATATATGTTCTTTTATTATCTTCCCTTCTCTCTCTCCCTCTACCCCAATAAATCTAGCAAGCCTCCAGGTCTTGTGAGTAAAGTGCCACTCTCCACAGCTGCCGTCACACAATTCTGCAAAAGATCCATCACTTCACACTGGAAAAAAAACAATTGGTGTCACAACAGATTAACATAAACCCCCTTTCCTTTCCAGAGCAGGGAATTTCTTGATTACCATAAGCCTCAGCCCCATTAAAATATCACAAGATGGAGCATATTTCTGACATTTCCAGAGTGCATCTCTCCCTCCCCCACCCTGGACTGCCCACCCTTAACTTGTTCATTGTTGCCAGAAGCCATTCTCAAAGATGTGGGAGGACGATTCATTTTAACCAGGAGCAGTTTTTCGAGGAGGAGCTCGTCTTTATTCTAATACGCTTCCAAGGTAAGGACTAAAAGACTATTCCCCAAACAGAGCACCTCTTCAAAGGATGGCGAGGACGCCAACAGACTCAGGAGCTTTCCCCAGAGATGCAGAGTTGAAATATTCACATTTGAATGTAATATCAAAAATAATCATGGGAAGGTCCTCAACCTAATGGATTCTTCGCTATAGGCAGAGGGGAAATGAATGAAGCCGTTTTCAAAGGAAAACATAGAAATCTTGAGGATTATCAAAGAACTTCTGGAATTGCACGAGAAAAGCCCACACCACTCATCTAAATTCCTCACTATTTCAACAATCTTCATTAAAAAAAAAAAATTCTAGATGGTTTGCAGCACATAATACAACTATACAGTCTGCTGAAATCTGATAAATCCCATTAAAGCAGCAACAGCCACAGCAGCCAGATGTTTCTCAATGGCAGGTGCATCAATCACCAGCCAAGGCCTGGGTGAGCAAATACATTTCCTGGGGGCACTGAAAACTCAGCAGAGTTGATGCAGGATGTCAGGATGAGGGAGGCCAATTTACATGAACAGGATGGTCCCTCCAAATTCCACCCATCAGTCACAGCGTCTCATTCCTCTAACAGCTGTGCTCCTGAGCATCTACACTCTGTCCCCGTATAGCTGAGTCCTGTCCCTTTACCAACAGGTGCTGACCTCTAATGGTTACTAGGCACAATAGCTATGCATCTACTTCTACTTCATTCACTTCTGAGTTTTGTTCTCCCCCCCCCCCCCATAAATAGAAAGGGGGGGAGGGAAGCAAAGGGCCCTGATTTCTTTTCACATTGCTTTAAATCATTTCCTTTAATTAATACTTACAGACAAGCAACGCCCTGAGAAACGTTACACATTCTTTCCCTTTCTCTCTTCTGTACATCTGACTTTGAATTATTCAGATACCACAAAGAACCAAAGATATGTCCCCTTAGGAATCTCTCAGGAATTTTGTTGTCTTAAGCAGACAATCCGATAATAAAACAAGTTGCCATCAGATTATCTTGAAAATCTGTTGGTGCAGAATGGGTGAGGTGTGCCTTGACAGGAGCACGCTGCTGAATTAATATGGATGAAGATTCATGCATATTCACATTTCAATTGTTTGATGCCTTTGACTGGCTTTGCTTTAGTCTCCTCCATTAAGCAATCATAAAACCTTCAAAAGCTCAGCTTTATTTAATGAGCACTTTATTAATTATGACTTTGCATTTGGTTAGATTTTTCTTACACTGTCAAATGTGCCATAATAATACTTATGGCTTACATTGGGGGAAGGGTTAGATTTTTCCAATAGCTTCAACTATATCATCATAATGCTTATAAGTAATGTAACTTTTTTTTTTAGTGTTCAAATTTTTAAAAACATGTCTCAGTAATTCTCACAACAGCCTTGTAATGTATGCAAGTGATATTATGCCCATAATGCAGGTGTCTAAGGCCAAGAGCAGGGATGCGGGTGGTGCTGTGGTCTAAACCACAGAGCCTAGGGCTTGCCAATCAGAAGGTTGGTGGTTTACCTTCCCGCCGGAGCGGTACCTATTTATCTACTTGCACTGGTGTGCATTCGAACTGCTAGGTCGGCAAGAGCTGGGACAGAGCAACGGGAGCTCACTCCATCGCACGGATTTGAACCGCCAACCTTTCGATCAGCAAGCCCATGGTTTAGACCACAGCACCACCCAACAAAAACCTGAGCATCTGGAAAAGTGTAGCTAAGCATCAGGCCCAATGTGATGTTAGTTGTGTGAATGCAATTAACACACACAAGTGCTGAGTAGTGTGTTAAGCACCGAGCAGGGAGTTAAGACTGGCTAAGCCAACATGAGCAAACACATTGCAGTGGCTGTGCACTCATCTTATCACATCCAAGTTCTGCTTTATGAATTCTCTCGCCCTATTTATGCAATGCATATCATATATCATATATGTTGCTTGGACTTATGCAATTTCAAGCTACAGTAGATCCGGTGGAGGAGGGAAAGTTTCAAAGACAAAGACGAATGATGTTGTGACACATCCCTTAATAACTGTATTAGATACTGGAGCTGTTGTGGCATCTTATGATATCGAGTGACATACACCAGTAATTACAGCAATTCTGCCAAACATCATGAAATAAGTCCCTGAAATGAAGAAGTGGCACCCGTCTCAGGAATGGGAAACTGATGTTCAACGAAGACCGCTGCTGAAGTTATGGAAAGGCAGACATTTATAGAAGGACAAATTTTGTTCGACAGCTAATACTGGAAGGGTGAAAAGAGAACCCAAATGAATTTATTTCTTTACTTATTAGATTTATATAAAGATCCCAGGGCAGTTCGCAAGATAAAAACACAAGATAAAAGCAAAAATTAACAGATAAAACAGCAAAACACACACACACAAACATAAACACAAACACACCCTATTATGTCTTAGTTGTCCATACTGGACACATTTGTTTCCATTTAAATCCATTGTAGAGGGATGTCATTTTTATTTGTTATGAAACCAATTCATGCCCTAAATTAAGAATAGTAAATCAGATATTCTTTTAAAACAGAGAGTGGTTAGCCTCCTGACCAGAGAGGTCTAATCTGGCTCACCAAGCCATTTTCTCTGCGTCCACCAATTCTGAAGCCAACGACAAGCCATAGTCTGATGTTGTGGATTGCTCTGAAGTCAATGACCATGGTTTCCTGATTTAGACATAATGGGAAACAGTCGTACATTAGAGTCACATGGTTTGATCACATGTTGCAAAAATGAGAAATGAAAAAACTATGGCTCTCTTCCTTCCCATTTTATCCTCACAGCAACCCTGTGAAGCAGGTTGGGCTGAGAAATTGTGGCTGGCTCAAGGTCGCCTAGTGAGTTTCATGGATGAGTGGGGATTTGAACCCTGGTCTCCCAGGTCCTAGTCTAACACTCTAACCACTATGCCACCCAGGCTCCTATGCTAGAATGGGCCTTTCACCTGATCCAGCAGGCCTCTCCTCACATTCTTATACCTTTTCTCCTGGAGCTGGACATGCCAGAACCCAAAACAACATCAAAGGCAATTCTGCCACTCTTTGAAAATCTCTTGGCTAGGTGCTGCGATAGTTTCCTGCCTGTCTTTCCCTCCCTCCAGCAAACCGGCTGTCAGAACGCATCTGTCTCCCTACACAATGGATAAGTTAGGAAAGCTTTTGGCTAGCCTGCTTTCTGCTTTGCCGGCACGCTTCCTTTCCCTGCAATTGGCAGTTTACAACCAGGAAGCAATCCCAAAGGGGGTTCCCAGGTTTCCCTGCCTTTCCTTGCAAAAGAGAGCGATATGTCAGTGCCCTTGTGGAGAAGACACCGTCAACAAGAACCGCTTCTGGGGAAAGCTGAAATAGCAATAGCAGTGCTTTATTCTATTTTCTCCTCCAAAGCCCAGGAACTTATGAATGGGGACAGTCGAGCAAACTATTGGAAGCATATTTGGGGCAGAGATAGGGGATCTGTTTTTCAGCTCAAGGGCCACTTTCCTTCTTAAGCAATCTTCCAGGGGCCACATCTCAGAGGTGGGTAGTGCCAGAGGCAAAAGGGGGCCAGCAGCAAAAATGACTTTTAATAGTGCATGGTGGGCTGCATTCTAGTCAGACAGAGATAAGTTCATGTTAGTCCATAGTCAGATTCAACGTGAAGGTCTTAGTTTCAATCATTGAGCAGAAGTCAGAAGTCAATTATGGATCAGAAGCCAGGACAGGGCCCTGTTTTGATGTATTCACCTTCATCAGCTAAGTGAAAACACACAGTAAAGCTCAAGATACACGTTGATCTACCCACACTTAGCTGCTGAAGGTGAATACATTGAAACAGGGCCCTGTCTTGGTTTCTGATCCATAATTGACTTCTGACTTCTGCTCAATGATTGAAACTAAGCCCTTCACATCAACTCTGACTATGGACTAACATGAACTTATCTCTACTCATAAACTCTTTTCTCTAATTCTGTAACGAATTATTGTGTTATACATATCCTTATGAGTTTGAGTTTGTAATCTCCGTTTGAGTTTGTAATCTCTATTTGAGTTTGCAGTCCTTGTCAGAATGCATACTTTTGAATGGATTAGTTTTTGTTACAATTGCTTTGCAAGTAGGGACCACTCCCACTACTGAAACTTATATTGGCCTGAGTTCTTGCTGTGCTTTTTTCTTGGCACAGAATAGGGTCAGGAGCAGAAGAGTCTCAGCAGGTGGGGCATAGCTGCTGCACTAGCTTTCTGGCAGGAGGGTCACTATTGCTTACCATGGGTGAGAGGTGGCAGGGAGGTCAGCACACACATCTGTGGTGCAGAAGG